TCAAAAATCTGCTGAAATGGGTTACGCTGGAGGAACATATAATGTTGGACATTGTTATGATGAAGGAATTGGAGTTGAAAAAGATGAACATAAAGCTTTCATCTATTATCAAAAATCTGCTGAGATGGGGCACGCTAGTGGAACATATAATGTTGGATATTGTTATTTCAATGGAATAGGTGTTGAAAAGGATGAAAACAAGGCATTCATTTATTATCAAAGATCTGAAGAGATAGGGCACGCTAGTGGAACATATATGGTTGGATATTGTTATCGATATGGAATTGGAATTGAAAAAGATGAACATAAAGCATTCATTTATTATCAAAAGTCTGCTGAGATGGGTGATTCTGATGGAGTATATGATGTCGGATATAGTTATTTCAATGGAAGTGGCGTTGAAAAGGACGAATATAGTTATTTCAATGGAAGTGGCGTTGAAAAGGACGAATATAAGGCCTTCATTAATTATCAAAAATCTGCAGAAATGGGGCACGCTGGTGGAACATATATGGTTGGTTATTGTTATCGATATGGAATTGGAGTTGGAAAAGATGAACATAGGACATTGATTTATTATCAAAAATCTGCAGAAATGGGATACGCTCGAGGGACATGTAATGTTGGACATTGTTATCTCGATGGCGTTGGAATTGAAAAAGATGAACATAAGGCATTTAATTATTATCAAAAATCTGCAGAGATGGGGTACGCTAGTGGAACATATATGGTTGGATATTGTTATCTTAATGGAATTGGCGTTGAAAAAGATGAACATAAGGCTTTCTTTCATTATCAAAAATCAGCAGAGATAGGAGATGCTGATGGAGCACATAATGTTGGATATTGCTACCTCAATGGAATTGGAGTTGAAGAGGATGAAAATAAGGCATTCATTTATTATCAAAAATCTGCAGAGTTGGGTCAAGCTCGTGGTACATATATGGTTGGATATTGTTATCTCAATGGTATTGGAATTGAAAAAGATGAACATAAGGCATTCATTTATTATCAAAAATCTGCAGAAATGGGATACGCTAGAGGGACATATGTGGTTGGATATTGTTATCGATATGGAATTGGAGTTGAAAAAGCATTCGTTTATTATCAAAAATCTGCTGAAATGGGATATATTAATGGGATAAGAGAAGTTAGAAATTGTTATCTTAATGGAATTGGGGTTGAAATGGATGAGTATAAGGCATTCATATATTATCAAAAATCTGTAGAGACGGGCAACGCTAGTAGAGTAGAGTGTCAGATGTTGCGTAATGTTATCGAAATATAATTGAATAACAAGAGATCTATTAAAGCCAAATATTGGTGTCAAAGGTAAATATTAGTCTGAGTTTAAATTTGTGCGAGTGAATTATGACATACCATTATCAAATAATAAGGTATAATTAATTCAAAAAATATATTTGTTTGGATTAGGATTAAAATTAAAACATTGGGGTTGACGATAATGATATCATAAAATATAAAAACTTTAAAGTGATTTTATAAGAAAAATTTTGAGTTATAGACGATTTTTAGTTTAAGAAAATGATCATTTCGCACCCGGCCTTGATTAAGGTTGTGAATTGCCTTAATTCAATAATACTACTGAACGATACGTACGATATTGTTGCTCATATTGCTGGATTCTCCCTCTACATTTCATGTTACAGTGAAATTAATTTATAATATCTTGGTTATTATTAATAAATAACACGAATATAATAATAACAGATAATAATCAAGGATTAATGAAGCACAAACAATGTACTGTACTAATAACAATTAACACTTAATAAAAGACAATAACAATTCATAAAGAAATTATTTGAATTCAATATTTATTACTCTAAGAAAAAAATTAAAATTATGTCAAAAAACAAGTATTTTTTGTAATAAAATCCTATATAAAACCTCTTTAAATTTCTGAATATATGCAGAACTTGAATCTCTTAGTGTACAGTAATTATGTAGTGCTTACATAATGTCTATGTAGTTATAATTAAATTTAATAGCAATTATGTAATTACCATGCATATTAAGATATTTAATTTTCTATAAATTTTCTATAAATTTCCTGAATATTTCTGATTTCCTTGTTATAATTTTATAAAGAAATACAATTATAGGAAATATTCAGGAAATTTAGAAATATTAGGGAATTTCACTAAGTATACAGTAATATGTTAAAGTTTACTCTTTTCTAATTGTTAAATTTGATAATACTTGGATTTTTTATTTACAGGGCATCATTTGAATAAGTTTGCAAAAAAAATTCTTTATGTTTTTAAAAAGCTATTTATATGTGTATTTCTAAAATTATATATCTATTGCACTAAAAGCTAAAAATTTTTTCAGGTTATCTTTTCTGATAAATCTGGGTATTTAGAATCTTCACCCAAAAACAATCCAATTAATTAAAAAGTATTTTTACAATTATTTTCATGACTTTCTTGTGTTTATCTAACCAGCAAACTGTCCAATTGGTTATATCAGTTAGTACTCTAAACACCTTAATTTCCTCATCCACATGAATGCTTGCCACAATCATTTTAAGAATTTCTTGTTGATGGCTTTTATAATCCAGTTTTTTTTAAAATTCAATTATTGCATAAATTCTATCAACAAGCATTTATTTTTTGTACACTCTTTTACTATGATAAAGTTTGATACCTCTTTTATATTGTAGGGAAATCATTAAGACTTTTTAATATTAAGAAGGTTTCTATTGTTCAAAATGTCTACAATAATAGAAGATTCTGTTTTAAATTTTTTTGAAATATTTATATAGCCTCTTTCTTTGTTCCACATAGTTTTCTGCATAATCTAACTACTGAAAAAAGGCTGTCTTTTATGTATTTATTTTGAAAAACCCAACATTCTTTACTATTAATACAGTAAGCTCAAGAAATTTGTCAAATTTCTTGGTATTGATATTCAAAAACAAAATAGTTTTTTCCTCATTATTACATGAGCATAGATCATGTCAATTTTTTGGATCTTTTTTTTGAAAGTGTTATTTCTAAAAGAAAACTGAGAACATTAAAATAAAATAATTATAAAAATTTAAAAATTTAGAAAAAATAAAATAATTAATTAAAAGCTAAAAATAGCAACATCATTTAATATTGTTGGTATTTGGTACCTTGATAATTATATTAACACAATTATCAGATACTATAAAAAAAATTTATATACTTTCTTAAAAGGCAGTAATTTATGAATCTCAGTTTTTCAAGAACAATATCTCCCATTGAACATCTTCTTCATTATATAGAATATTCACTTTCTATAATATAATATCCTTTGCTTTAATACAATTAGGCAAAGTAATTTTATTTCTAAAAATTTCTTTTATATTCAATAGATATAGTAGTATTATTTAAGTCAACATTTATAGGAAAAGAAAATTCATATCTATTACTATAAACAAGGCAAAAAGAATTTTTTTATTTACTCATACTAACAATGATAATAAAAGTTAGCAAGAATGCTAATATCATAAATAAAACAACAATTTCAATAAAAACTTATATTCTTTTAAAATCTTTTTTTTAGTTCTGAATTTTCTTATTAACTTTGTTTTTGTATTTCTATATTAAGTTATGCATAGTATTTAAAATGAATTAAAACCAATTTTCATATTAAGCAACTTTTAAAAAGTAATAAATTTGACTTTAAAAACAACAAATTCAATTGTAGTTAAAATAAGATCTGCACTGAGTAGTTTTTAAATAGGATTATAAATTACATGCACATATATATATTTAAATATTGTTACCTGTTATCACCAAATCTGTTTTGATGCATGTTATTATTTTTTTATATTTTATTATATGGAGTCTTTGCCTTGAAAATTGAGTTACAGAACAGAGTAAATCATATGTCCCATACTTGATTTTCAAGGCAAAGCCCCCATATCAGATTGCATGATTGTGTAATGAATATTACAATATACAAAAGGGACATCTATAATTTACATTAAACTGGCATTGTTATAGAGATCTTAAGATAATGCAAAAATAATACAATATGATATTATCTTCAATATCTCTATTCTTATACAATACTGTACTGGTTTAACATAAATTATGGATATTACCAAATTTAAAGTAATAAACCCTGACTTCAAAATCATAAACCAAAATTCAGTATAGGTTTTTTGTTAAAATATAAAAGTTTGGCTATATAAAATTTGTATTTTTTGGCAAAGACAGACATGAAAATTTTTAATTCCCCACCACTTCACATTGTAGAAATGCAAATATTATTTTCTATTAGATGAAACCAATTGCATCATTGATCAGAATGGGTAAAAATTTTATGTAACCATCTAATGCACTACAATTAAAAAATCAATTATAGTCAAACCTCTTTATAGTCACCTCCTATATACTTTATATACATATTTTTTTTAAAACAGACTATTATTAAATATAATGAATATAATTGTCACATTTCTCTACAATCACACATTTTGTATCCCAAGTATGTGACTATAGAGAGGTTTGACTATACTTTTCACAATGATTATATTAATTAAAATTTTTTTAAAAAATAATTATTTTCAACATTTTGCTCTTTTTGAATATACTTTCAAGCTTTTTTAGTAATAATTTCGTGTGAACGTTTAAATAAATTTTCACCAAAAAATTTTTATTATCCTACCTTTTTAAATCATACTGCTATACAAAAATCTGAAAACAAAATAAGTATTACTTTTTTTTGTTTTGCTTTATTTTGTTTTGTTTTGTTTAGTTTTTTGTAAGTGTATAAAAATTACTTATCTTGGATTTGGCAAAATGGCTTTGGAGCAAATTTATTAATTGTAAATAAATTAATTAATTATAAATACAAAATTTTTATAATAACTAAGTCTTATAGTAACTAAGTTTTATAAAACTATAACTAGTTTTATAAAACTATAACTAGTTTTATAAAACTATAACTAGTTTTATAAAACTATAACTAGTTTTATAAACACTGCACAAACACCTATAATCTTAATCTTTAGTATATAGGTTTGAATCAAGTTTTAAGCCAGGAGATATCCACACATCATTATTATCTAAGTTAATATGAAGTAATAAGTAATACACCAATTTAATTTATAATCAGATAATTGAAAAGAACTATTACCTTGAAATAATGAATTATCAGAAAGTTTTAAAGTTAAATTGTATTTTGACCAAGATTCAAGAACTATTTCAAAAGATAGTTCAATATTAGTAGGTGAATAATCTAGATAATTCATTATAGTGCAAATAGCTCTTTGAAATTAGTTATTTTTATAGTAGGTACTTCAATCTTTGTTTCACCAGTTTTAATTTTAATATTTCTTGCATGTTTACTATAACAACCAACCAAAGATGGTTTTCCTACTAGTATCTAATATACAGCAAAAGGCCTAAATAATAGAAATGAAATTTGAATTATAATAGTATTAATGTAAAAAAAAAGAATTTTAAAGAAATATTTTTTGCTTACACATTTTGGGGATAATTATTGGGAATTTCAATAAATTCTGAAAATCCATAATAATCTTTGACCAAAATTTAGTATCAAAGTTTGATTTATTTCCATTTCATTGAAAATAGATCTATAATCTTTATATTTATCACTATCTAAAGATTGCTCAAATTTTATTTGAATAAATTTAATATTACAGTTGACCCCTCTCAGAATCGGTATGTATGGTGGACAGGTTGTGTATCAGTTTTAAGAGGTTATCGGATTTGAAAAAATAGCAAACTATTAGATTTATATAACGAGAACGGACTTGGAAGATTAATTTTTTATCAGATTTGAAAGGTTATGGGCTTTGACAGGATCGGGTTTGAGAGGGTCAACTGTATGGATTAACCACGAATATCTAGATATATCTGGATTATTTAGATTAAAATAGATACTGATAGCGGATAAGTGAATAAGCAGCCTTTAACTGATTTAGATAATAGATAGATAAACATATAGACCATCTAGATACGTATGCTAAACAAATAACCGGATCATCCGAATTAAATCTCAAGTTACAATTACACCATTCTGTAATTAGCCGTCTTTTTATAAATGAATGGCATATCATGTTCTTCTACCATCTGCAGCTATAACGTTAAAATAATTAAACAATTTAACGATATTTCAAATTAATTTGATATTCTTCAAATTTATTATATATCAATATTAACGGTTGTCAATTTATTACAAAAAAAAATAGATTCACCCACTTTAATGATCACATTAAATACATTAAATCTTCTTTCACTGCCATCTTTAAAAAATATATTTTGAACGATTCCAAGCGCTTAATCTATGGGTAGAAATGTGTCGGATTTACATTCTAATTGGTGGAAATATTTTAACCGATCAAACAGGTTTATTATTAAGAAGAGTAGGTTAAGGGCAAGTATTTATTAAAAATTTTAAATAGCGAAAATGACCAGTGTGTTTTGCAATACTTACAACTACTAGAATAAATAGAGTTACCGATAGATTCATGTGAAGCTCTTAGTTTCGTAACTAACATTGGGTAGGTGCCGAACTGTGTTGGCAATTTTAATATCTATCATATTGAGAAAAAAACTAAGATTGTCGGAATAAGCTTTTCCATTGAATCCTATGATTATGTAACAACCTAATTGTTTTGTGTTACATATGTGGCACAATGTGATAGATATCTTCGTACGTACGTACGTACGTAATACATTCTCCTTCTTTCTTAAAATGTCAAATAAACTATTTGAAAAGCAACCAAAAAAAAACAACAGTTCATCGGATATTATCCAAATGGCCAATAATGCTACTCAACAGTATTTAAAAAATAATAAGTTGCAAGATTCCTCCCAGAATTTTATTAATGAAACTGTTAAAGAAATGTGTAATCTGTATAATAAAGAAAAATTGAAATGCATAAACTCCCGTTCGGCACTTGATATAATAGAACAATTTCTAATAAAGAAGAAACAAAATCCTGTTAACATTATCAATTTTTGCTTGAATGATCAAATCAATCCTACGGTTCAAATCATTCTTGCAAGTTGTTATTGTTACGGAAAATGGATTGAAAAGGATGAATATAAAGCATTTATTTATTATTTAAAGTCTGCAGAGATGGGTGACGCTATTGGAACAAATAATGTTGGATATTGTTATCATGTTGGAATCGGAGTTGAAAAGGATGAACATAAAGCTTTCATTTATTATCAAAAATCTGCAGAAATAGGATACGTTGCAGGGACATATAATGTTGGGTATTGTTATCAATATGGAATTGGTGTCAAAAAGGACGAACATAAGTCTTTCATTTATTATAAAAAGTCTGCAGAGATGGGATACGCTGGTGGGACATATTATGTAGGATATTGCTATCAAAATTGAATTGGTATTGAAAAGGATGAACACAAGGCTTTTAATTATTATCATAAATCTGCAGAGATGGAGCACGTTAATGGAACATATATGGTTGGATATTGTTATATCAATGAAATTGGAGTTAAAAAAGATGAGCATAAGGCATTTGTTTATTATCAAAAATCGGCAGAATTAGGATACGCTGGAGGGGCATATAATGTTGGATATTGTTATAGAAATGGAATTGGAGTTGAAAAGATGAAAATAAGGCATTCATTTATTATCAAAAATCTGCCGATATGGGACACGTTAGTGGAACATATATGGTTGGATACTGTTATCGAAATGGAATTGGAGTTGAAAAAGATGAACGTAAGGCTTTTATTTGTTATCAAAAGTCTGCAGAAATAGGATACATTGGAGGAATGTATAATGTTGGTTATTATTATCTTAATGGAATTGGAGTTGAAAAAGATGAACATAAGGCTTTCATTTATTATCAAAAATCTGCAGAGATGGAGCATGTTAGTGGAACATATATGGTTGGATATTGTTATCGAAATGGGATTGGAGTTGAAAAAGATGAAAATAAGGCTTTCATTTATTATCAAAAATCTGCAGAAATGGGATGCACTAGGGGGACATATATGGTTGGATATTGTTATCGATATGGAGTTGGAGTTGAAAAAGTTGAATATAAAGCTTTCATTTATTATCAAAAATCTGCAGATATGGGAAATACTAATGGAATAAGAGAAGTTGGAAATTGTTATCTTTATGGAGTTGGGGTTGAAAAAGATGAGTATAAGGCATACATTTATTATCAAAAATCTGTAGAGATGGGTAACATTGGTGGAATTTCAAGTGTTACATAGTATTATCAAAATGGAATTTGAATAATATTACTGATATTAAGAAATGAGATATATATAGTATACATGACTGACCTGAACTCTTATCTAGAAAACTGTTATAGTAATATGTAATACTGTGGTCAAGTAGTTGTATTATTAGTCTAAAATTAAGTATACATAAAATTAAAAACCAATATTGTAACTAGTTATTGAAGCGGAATTCAGTAATAATTACACGCTATAGCATAATTTAAAAAATATATACAATGTAAAGTTACTAAAGATTTATTATAAACTTTATAAATATTATCTACCTTGTTAAAAAATTACTTTGTTATATTTAATAAGTCTGAAAAATGTTTTAATTATTAATATAATTAAATTTTTTTAAATATAAATATAGGGCGTTGTTTTATGATGATGGTTACCATGGCGACTCTATATGAATAGCCAATCAATGAGCATGTGCATATATAATAAGTTGCTTACTACTGGCCAATTAAAATTAAGTATTAATTGAGAAATATTGTCTTAAAGTTTTAAAAAAACTTTAAAAGGATTTTGGGATGAATTGATAGTTGATACGTACATACAAGTAGGATCAAATTTAGGTTCATCTAAACCTACCTGACGGTGTGATCTGATTGGTTCACACCAAAGTGTCAAACACGTGAATTGTGTTTTTAATGGCTTGGAGCTGCAAAACTTTCATTTTTGATACACCTGTTCCTACTTTTTTGATGCTGATCGACATGCAGATCCCGGTAAAAATAAAAATTTTAAAAACTTTGAGCGAAGATATCTCGATAACTACCTGCTTGAATCCGATAAAACCTTTTAGATTGAATTCAATGGATTCATAGAATTCAAATAATAAAAAATCCATCAAATTTAGCCATGTGGTTGTCGAGATATCTTCGCTCAAAATCAAAACGCCTGTCAAAATAGAAACTGCGCCAAATTTCTCTCTAACTTTGAGCGAAGATATCTCGATAACTATCTGACCAAATTCGATAAACCTTTTTTTATTTGAATTCGATGGATTCATAGAATTTAAATAAAAAATTTTTAACTGAATTTAGTCAAGTGGCTATCGAGGTATCTTCGCTCAAAATTAGAGAATAATAAAACGCCTATCAAAATATGAAATTTCTCTCTAACTTTGAGCGAAGATACCCCAATAATGGTCTGTCCAAATTCGATAAAGCTTTTTTTATTTGAATTCTATGGATTCATAGAATTCAATTTAAAAAAAATTTCATCGCGTTTAATCAAGTGCTTGTCGAGATATCTTCGCTCAAAGAAAAACTCAAAATGCATATCTACGCCAAATTTCCTTTCTAACTTTGAGCGAAGATATATCGACACCCACTTGACTAAATGCGATGGAATTTTTTTTATTTGAATTCTATGGTTCTATAGAATTCAAATAAAAAAAGTTTTATCGAATTTGGACAGATCGTTATTGAGGTATTTTCGCTCAAAGTTAGAGAGGAATTTCTATTTTGATAGGTGTTTTATTGTTCTCTAACTTTGAGAGAAGTTATTCGATAGCCACTTTGACTAAATTCATTAATTTTTTTCTATTTTAATTTTATAAATCCATTGAATTTAAATAAAAAAAATTTTATCGAATTTGGTCAGATAGTTACCGAGATATCTTCGCTCAAAGTTAGAGAGAAAATTGGCGCAGCTTCTATTTTGATAGGCGTTTTGATTTTGAGCGAAGATATCTCGACAACCACTTGGCTAAATTTGATGAATTTTTTTTTATTTAAATTCTATGAATCTATTGAATTCAAATTTAAAAAGTTTTATCAGATCCAAGTAGGTAGTTGTCGGGATATCTTCGCTCAAAGTTTTTAAAATTTTTATTTTTACCGGGATCAGCATCAAAAAAGTAGGTACGTACAGGTGTATCAAAAATGATTGTTTTAGATTTTTAATTGGCTATTTGTCACATAATTTATATATTACACAATGTCCAATATCCAATACCTTTTGGTCCAATGGATTGGACTGGACTGGACATTGGACATGTCCAATGTCC